CTGGAAAATAATTTCCCCGCTCGGAGCCGCCTTCACCCCAAATCTCCCCCGTCACCAGGCGCTTGGCCGCACTCAAGACACACCAACAAAAAAACCCCCCAAAAACCAAAAACCCCGCCAAAAATGATGAAAAAGGGGCCCCACGAAGAGCAAAACGCCGCTAACTCCAACTGGGATCGTAACCCGTCCAGTCCGCCGGAGGGGCGAGATAAACGCGGCGACCCCGATAGACGAAGCTGACGATGCCGCGATAACCGGCGCGAGGAACGCCGGATTTCAGATCGTCCATCAAGCCCAAAGCTTTGGCGAAAGCTTTGAAAGAATCGCGGCCGCTGTACTGCAAGCGGACGGTTCCTAATTCCCGACGGCGGTTCCCTTGGAGTTCTTCCACTTTGACCTCCGGCGCGGCGTAAACTTTGGAGAGAAAAGAACGTTCGTATTCTTCCTTTTTGAGGTAAGAAAGATTCAGTTGGGTGAAAGGCACAAAACGGTCGTTGAGTTTGATAAATTTTAAATATTGATCGAAAAATTGCCCGTGACTTACGCCTTTCCGACCGAAAGTCATCGTCCGGGAGATTTCAGGTCGGATACAAGAACGATCGCGGCGTTGTTCGGGTTGCCGCATCCAATCGTCCCAAAAAGCACGCGGCCATTTCGGTTCGAGTTCATCCCAAAGTTCAGCTAAAAGTAACCAACCTAAACCGGGAAAAAAATCCGTCCGGTAAAGTAATTCGGCTTGAGAGACGTCTACCATTTGTTCTTTCCCGTTATCGTTCCAAGCGGAGACGCACCAAAGGCTTCGATCGGCGAGAAGAAGCGGTAAAGCCGCTTGGAAATATTCGAAAAAATCCGGCGCGATTTCTAAATCGTCTTCCACCACGATAACGGCGCGGTAACGGAAAGAACGGAAAATCTGCCCTAACGCCCAACGGTAATGGCGAGCGATTTTATAATATCCTTGGAATTTCCGATGTTCGGCGGGGACGGGGATATCGCCGAGGTCGGGTTGACGGATATGAACCACGGCGTCGCCGTAGGAAGCGATGACCCGCGCCGTTTCGGCGTGGCCGCAATCTTGGCTGACGATGACGGGGAAGCGTTGAGCCGAAGGGCGATAAAGGAAAATTTTATCTAAACAACGTCGGACGGTGCTGCGGTCGCAAGCCAAAACCAAGACGGGTAAAACGAGGTCGACGTCGATTTGTGGCGGAGGGGAGGAAGGTTTGGGAGTGATTCGAGCTCCTCGGTTTCGGCGGCGGCCCCACAAAGCGCCGCTGTAGAGATAGATTTGGTGTAAAAGTTCTTTTTGTCGTTCCAGCTCGGTTTCGGCATCTTGAGCCAAGCGGATGACTTGGGCCGTTAAGGAGGATGAAGAGGATGAAGAGGATGGAGGGCGGCTCCAGAGAAAGAGGAGGAGGAGACAGTTCCAAGCGATGAAAAGCGCCGCCCCCCAAAGCAACCAACTGTTCTTCTTCAGCATCCTTCAGCGCTCCGGAAAAAAAAAAAAAAAAATCACGCCATCGACCTGGAAAAGGGCAAAAAATGAAAAATTTGGGGGTTGGTGACAAAAAAACCCCGATTTTAGCCTCAAAATAGGGATGGGAAGGGAAAGGGACGCTTGGAAAGGTGGTGAAATGGTTAAAAAATGAAAAATTTGGGGGGCTGATAATGAAAAAACCCCAATTTTAGCCTCAAAATAGGAATGGGAAATGCAAGGGACGCTTGGAAAGGTGGTGAAATGGTTAAAAAATGAAAAATTTGGGGGGCTGATAATGAAAAAAAACCCAATTTTAGCCCCAAAATAGGGATGGGAAGGGAAAGGGACGCTTGGAAAGGTGGTGAAATGGTTAAAAAAGGGAAAAAAAAAAATAAATTCCGCCCGGAGGAAAAAAAAAATAATAAATTCTCGGCGTGGAGAGGAAGAGAAACGGCGGCGGCGACGTGGCAGGGTGAAAATGAAAGAAAAAAAGAAAAAAAAAAAAAAAGAAATAATTCAGGGGAAATGCAAATAGGGGGGTGGGGAGGGCAAAGGGTAAAGTTTGAGGTTGTGAAATGTTGAGGTGGGACGAGGGGGGTTTGGGGGGGAAAAATGGGGAGGAAGGGGAAAAAAAAAATTAAATTTGAGGGGAAAAGTTGGGTTTTTGGGGAGTTTTTACTCACCCAGAGTCCGGCTCGGTTCCTGTTCGGAGAGACGTCGGCGAAGGGAGGAAAGAGGAAAAAAAAAAAAAATAAAAGGAAAAGGGGAAAAAAAAATAAAGAGAGAAAA